GAGACCTCATTCAGTGCAACTGTGGCTTTGGAGCTTGCATTCAAATCCCTCCCACATCCCGTCGCTTTGTAATAAACTTTACCTTTCATTCTCTATGATGGCTTATGTTTCCTGCCTGAAATCTTTTGTCAAAGACACAAAGAATGAAGAATGAAGGTATATGGCCATTTTCCTGGGGTGCTAGGACCTCATTCTGTGAGGACCCTGACTTCCAGTAACAACAGCTAGGTCCCTTAGGCCATGTCTTATTTTTAAATGCTTGTGGTAATCCCTGACATCACAACCCAGCCTAGTCTCCCATATTGTCACAGTCTGGCACGTTTTCCCATCAGTGCTTTTTTTGGGTCCAGGTGGGTGGCAAATGTTTGGTTTTGCTTCCTGGTCTGGGTTAGCTGGAATCCAAGAAGTTGGGTAAAACCAAGTCACTGGCCTGAATTCTTCATTTTACCCTTCAGTTTCTGAGGATGAGGGAAAAGGAGAGAAAGAATCTGTTTGTCAACTTCACAGAATACGCAAGAAACAAAAAAGGAAGTTTGCTGAGAAAAGAAATTGCATTTCAAATTTACTAGGAAGTAGCTGAAAAACTTTAGTCACGGAAATCAACTATTTTCTCTAGTCCCAAGCTTTCTAAGAGAAAAAACAGACAGGATTGTTTTGTTTGTTTGTTTGTTTGTTTGGAACCATGAATGTCAGCCTTATTCTGACTGCATGATAGAGGAGTGTGACCAGAGAAGCTCTCCTGAGCAGAGGCATTCTTACCTACCTAGTCCCATTTATTAGCCAGAACCACACAAATACTTAACAGGCACCTGATTATTGACTCTTGTAACTAAAAATCTCAGAATATAGAGCCCTCCTCAGGTCTGAAGCTCCAACAACTTTAGAAGTCTGTCTTCTCCCATTTCCTTTCTCTGCCTTCCCCCAAAGTGGTTTCTTTCTCAGGCTTACTTTCTCCTCACAGCAATGCAGGTTCATATTCTAGCAATTCAACACCAGGTGTGCTATTTTCCAAGATGTTTTAAGGACTCTTATTGATCCAGCTGAAATTGTATCCCTTCATTAAACCAGGGGCTCTGCTTTGATTGGACAGGCCAAAGTCAAGCTCCTAGATTTCCAGTAATGTTGTCAATTTAACGTGCATGGTGAGGTCCAAGATAGTGCAAGGGTGTTAATCAAAGGAAAATGAAGACATAATTAGCAGGGGGGAAAAGTGGATGCTGCAGGGCGAGGACAACAGGAGGTCAGTGAGGATCAAGGGGCAAAGTTTAAAACACTCATTCTTAAAACTCATTCAGGGTGATGTTTGAAAGTGAGTGCTTTCTCAAACTGTGTGCCCTGTCCTAATTCCTCATCTTACCTTAGTCCTGGCCATAGGTGATAAGCAAGCAAGAGACAAAAGATTCCTTACAGGATTTTTCAACTTGATTAGATTCAGAGGCCCTAAAACACACTTCTGGGTGTGTCTGTGGAGATGGTAGAGGCATGACCTTGGGGATTATATCTGATCCCTAGCCCCTTCCTCTCGTGGCTCTTCCTCTGCTATTTCCCAGCTGCCTTGAAGTGAACATCTTTGCTCAAACATGCCCTTCCACCATAATGTTTCTGCTTTGGAGCCAGTCAACCATGGATTGAACCTTCTGAAACTAGGTGCCTCTCCTGTAAGTCAGTTATTTTGTCCCAACAATGGAAAAATCTAATACATAGCCATACTCAAAAATATATTACCAAAGACCTGAACATCCCATTATTAGAGATTCATTTCTTTAGGTTAGGAAGAAACATCTTTATAAGTACATCATCTTTTTCTCTTTTATTTTTCTCTTGTTTTCCAAAAACGGGGCAAATCTTTAAATGAGTAAGAGTTTCTCACACACATATCTTGACGATGATAAGCAAGTCAGTCACTTCCAGGGCCAGTACCTGTTGGAAGCCCCATCCTATAATAAGGTGTGGTATCTGTAAGGAGAGGTCTTCAGGAAGAGAGCAAAGGACCAAGACCAGAGAGAGAATGGAGTCCCTGAAAAGAAGGAAAACAACTTAGAAAAGGGGACATAAGATACTAAAGGCAACTTTTACTCAATTGCTTATGGATATTTAATGAACATTGGTTTTCATCAATTTGTGCAAATTCTGTCATCTGGGGTATGTGAAGTAGCAACTGGTGAGTGATAAAGCAGGAGGAAAGGTTCAGGACATAGCACACATAAGAATTCCTAAACAGGAGCACTTTGAGGGGGCACAACGTCTGGGAAGGCTTATCTAGATTCTCACCATCGGGCTACAAGAAAAAAGATGAATCCTGCCAAAAGCAAATCCTTGGGTATTCGGGATACTGGGATATTTTGGAAGTTTAATTTCCCCATACACCAGGGGTTTAAAGGAAAGTTATGAATTGTGTGTCCCTCCTAGTCCTATGGGAGGAAATTAATCCTTAAATGGCAAGATAAATAAGTCAACTGCCTCTTGAGGTAAGGACTAATAAAGACAAATTTTCCACCCATCATATGCCACTAATTTCATCTTCCTTTTTTGGGATTTTGGCTGCCTTTAGCAAAGAATATATCTTACATAACTGAAATAGATCTGCTTCTTATACCAATCAAATTTCAAAATTTTTCATTCACTTAATAGTGATAAAGTTATGATTCTGTTATTAGTTGGAAGCTGCATTTGGGAATATAGTTGTCATTGAGTTGATTTATAATCAATCCAGACAATATCTGGAAACCAAAGTGACCTGCACCATAGCTGCCAGCTCTCTACTTCTGGTGGCAGACAGGTAAAGGGCAAATCTTTAAATCTGTCTAAAAATGTTCCATACGTATGTTAATAATAAACTACAAAGTCAGTCACCTCTAGACTAGCACCTGTGAAAGCCCCAGCCCATAATGAAGCATGGTACACTTTAAAGAGAAGCCTGGGGGGAGAAGGAGAAGGGACCTGTACCCTCCCCGTATGGGGAGAAGTCCTTGAAAAGAAGAAAAAGCTTAATTTCCATTATATCAGGGTTTAAGGAAAAACTAGGAGACATAAATTTTGTGTCCTTACTAGGCCTAAGGGGAAAATCAACTGTTAAACTACAAAATAATTAAGTCAAGTGACTCTAAAATTTAGTGCTAACAAGGCTATTTACTAGTATTTTTAGTTTGTTTATTTGAGACAAGATGTTACTATGCAGTCCAGGCTGGCCTTGAACTTGCTATGTGCCCCAGGCCAGCCTTAAACTCGAAATACACCTGCCTCAGCCTCCCAAGTGCTAGGATTATAGGCTTGGGCCTCCAAACCCAGTCATTAGTTATTTTATGTCACCTTGCTCATAGCTGACTTTCTTAACCAGCTGCCAGTCAGCTGCAGAAACATACCTCACCACTTCAGTGAGTAGCCTTCTGTATGTAAAACGGCTTGCAGGGAAGAGCCTTCAGGAGGTGTGTGAGGGGCCAGAATGTCTGGTGCCCCGGCAACTCTCTCTTCATAGTAGCTATTTGTTTTATATTCCACTGGCTACTAATAAGTCTTTGTTTTGGTCGTAAATATCAGGATCGATGCTTTAAGAATCAAGTTTCTGTACCAACAAGCCTTAAAGCCAGACCTTAAGCCAGAGGCAAGTCATCGTAGCAATGCACTCCTGCACTCCCACTCTGCAGCCTGAAACCCAGCATCCCCCCAGTCTGCTGTTCATCTCCATCCAGTCCACCAGTCACGAGGCTCCTTAGGGACACACCTGTGAGCCTTCTTCCCTGGCACACACCCTCCACATCAGAATCTTCAACTGGGAATTCAGATGCTGTAAAATCAATTAATTCCTTTTTAGGTTCTTCCCTGGCCTAAGATTACTATCAGATGAACTCTGAAAATTATAACAATCTGTGGTAAGTTTATTAACAAATGCAATAATACATTTTCTATGTGAAGCACTGTGCTCATCTGGGTGGAGAATTCCTGGCTGAGCCTGCACTCCTGGGGAGCAGACACATTCACAATAACAACTCTCAGATCTAAACACTGAGGTACACCATAACCTACACTGTGTGGAACAAGAAAACATTTAATTACAACTAATGGCCCAACAAGACGTCCTAGAAGACAAGGCATCTTAGGTGACTCTGTGAGATGCGTGGAGAGAATTACAGTCTAGGGGGACACCTCTCCCATGTGACCAGCATCTGGACCTTGGCAAGCACGCTATGGCCTTTAGGACCAGATGGCTGAGTGGGAGACAAACTCTGACAGCAGAGTTTGGACACACAGGAGTTCTTCCTTCCATAGGTCATCATGATAATGGAAACCCTAACCTGCTATAGCTGTGGCTTTTTAAGTCTGTCCACATTGAGAGATGCACCAATCCAACTATACAGGCAGTCGGCCCTCCACACTGTGGGTTCGACGGCTGGGGGTCCCACATCTTTGGGTTCAACCAACTACACCTCAAAAATATTTAGAAAAACATTTTAACCTGTACCGAACATGCAGACACTTTTGTCATTATTCCCCAATGCAGGGTAACACCTATTTAAATAGTATTTACATCGTACTATGTATACATGATAATCTAGAGATAATCTAGAGATGAGTTAAATTATACAAGAGGATGCGTATATGTTGCACACGGGCTTCAGTGTCCATGGAGTTTGGAATTAGCAGGGGCCCTAGCACAGTCCCCTGAGATAAAAGGGGGCAAATGTATGTAAGGTGCATACATTCAATGACTTGTCTACCTCAATTAAGACCCGAAAACTCAAGGTCATGCCAGCTTTGAGCCCCATTGAGAAGCCAGGGCTTTCTGCGGAGAACATAGAACATTTCCCTCTGAACCAGATGCCAGGAGAGCTCTGCCAGGAGCCCAGCTCGGGGTTTCTCGGCCTCCCCAAGCTCCCATCAGCTGGCTGCACCCCCAGATCCAAGGCTGGGGCGGGTGCTATCAAGGCCCGGGTAACATCTGCAACCAGAGCAGCACAGGATGTTCTGGTTCCTCAGGCTGTCTGGGATTCCCAGCTTGAACACTTCCTGGAAACCTTTCTTCACCGCTTCTCTTGCGAAATCTAGCGGGCCCTCCCTCCGCTCCTGGGCTTCTTATAACCGCGGAGCGAGCGGGCGCCAGCCCGAGCCGAGCTGCGCTTCCTCCCGCCTCCCGCCGCGCCGGACCAGGCCTCCCAGGTAAAGTTCCCTCGGGTGGGCGCCTCCGCCCGCTTCCAGCCCGGTGTCCCAGGTTCCAGGTCCCCGCCCCGAGCTCGCGGGCCCTGAGAGTTCGCCGGCTCCTTCCCGCTCGCTCCCCGGCGCCCCTCCCGGAGGTCCGCCAGGCTGCTGGGCGCAGTGCCTAGGGCGTTCGCGCTCCCGGCGCCCTGAACTCTCATTGCTCAGGGGCAGCATCCCGTGCAGAGTGCGGGAGGTCGGATTCTCTCTGTGTCTCGCTTCTGGGTTGGCGCGAATCTTTGGTGCCGATCAGAAGGGAGACAAGAAATGGGGGTTGGCAGTCTGTTCTATCTGAGGCTGATTGTTTGTCCCGACTGTACCCTCTTTGATCTGGATCTAAATTTCCTTAAGCAATTTAATAATTGCTTTTCCAGAGAAATATTGCTTAGATTGTAATTTACAATGAAAAGGAACTAAAGCCTCACTTCTCTGTCCGGAGACAGGTGGAAGGTAGCTTTGTTCTCTGGATGGTTAACTTGAGCACTTTCTCTGAAAAATGACTGGTGTAGTGGAAAATGAACCCTAAGGAGCATGCGAGAAGGCATGGAGAATGCTATTCTTGGTTCCAACTAGAAGCCGTGTCCAGCCTCAGTTTCCACAGATGTAAACTGAAAGGCTGTTGATTCAGGTGATCCACAAAGCCCAACGCTTAACAGGGAGAAAAGCCCTGTGACTTGAGAAACTGCAGTTTTGATATGTGTTGGAAAGTTCATCAATGCTACGGGTATAGCTGAGTAATTACTTTTTTGTAATGACACGGGTTCATTTTCCTAAGGAAACTTCTCAGCTGTGAAGAGCATTGCCCACAGGAGCGTCCTGAAGCCCTAGCACATTTAGGGTTTGGAGAATACTCTCAGCTTTCAAAGCCACTCTTCAGCCTTGCTGTGTGAGACTGTCTTATTCTCTATAAATGGCAGTCATATAAATGTCACTCACATAAAAGAATATTTTTTTCTGATATAGTGTGTGCAGTTTTATAAAATGCCACATTTATTTGAAGCAGTAACTTTTGCAAGGCCCCAGGTTTTTCAGAAGTCTGTGATTTAGCACCATGCAAGGCTCTACCTGCATGGATTCCACTTGCATGGTAAGCACAGCCAGCCCAAAAGCAGAGTGAAGCACCTCCTATCATCAGGCTCAGGCTTGAGGCTGTAAAGCAAATGGTACACATGTACAGAGAAATTGGGTCGCAGCACTTTCTCCGTTTGACAGCATTTATGGTTTTACTGAAGTTCAGAGAGCAACTGGAGGCTCAGAAAACAACATATACAAGGCCTGACCCCTAATTTAGGAATGATTTCTAGACATCGGCCTTGCTTAAGCTTGCTGACTATTGTTTAGAAGGAACTAAAACAGATTCTTATTAATCTGTAAGTAAATTGGAAATCCTAAGCCTTGCACAATGTTGTAAACAACTTTTACAAATTTAAAGTTGGAGCAGCCCTGAGCAATCATTCTGTGTTGCTTTATCTTTTAAAAGGCTACCCCTAAACCACCCTACAATCAGCAATGGCGCTATTAAATGGACACAGCTTCTCCTTTCAAGGTCTAAGGAGCCGATCTGCAGCCAGCCTCAGAGACACATTTCAGTGTTTCATGATCCTCACCATCTACTTCTCATCATAAGTAATTTAGGCACTTTTATCAACTGCTATTTAGAAATCATTTCCTTAGAAAATCTTAGGAAGACTGACAAACTATCAGCCAAACAAAAACCCTACAGTACAGCAGCCCGTCAAAGCTCCGGGACTTTCTAGGGCACCTTGTAGCTAGTTTCTCCAGGCTGTCTGCACAGAAGAAGTCATTTGTTAAGCGCCTACAGCTACATCTACCCATAAGCCCTGCTATGAGACTCTAGAATACAGTGATTAATAAATTTTTCTGGGTGGGATTTTGGGATTTTTTTAAAGCTTCAGCTAGAAAATAATAGAAATAAGATTTACAAAGACAAACTGTTTGACTCTGCTTTACAGATTCAATGGGAATAAATAGTTCACTGTGAAGACTTCCTGAGGAGTTCCACATGATATGTTAAACCTACTCAAAATTCTTTCAGTGTTTTTTTACAACATTTTCCAAAATGGCTTAAACTAACACTTTTCTTTTGTTAAGAAGAAATCAGTTCAGGGGTGTGGATTTAGCTCAGTGACACCACGCCTGCCTTGAAAGTGCAAGGTCCTGAGTTCGATCCCCGGTACCAAAAACAAAACAAAACCAAAGAAGAAATCAGTTCTGCAAGGAATAAAACTAAATAAATAGCTAAAGGATAATTAATGCTTAAAACAATATGATAAAATATACTTGGTCTGTATGTATAAACAATTTGTTCTTTCAAAGCCAGTAAGGCATTTAAAGAACAGAGAATGTACATGCTGTTTGAAGGTTACCGTTCAGAAACACATCACTTCAGAAAGAATGCATTAGGCCACCAAAAAAAAAAAAAAAAAAAAAACTCCATTCTAATTAACCAGGCAGGACATTGACATCCTATTCTAAATTTCTCTCTGCAATATTCTAGAAGAGTATATTTAGCCATGTGGAGAGAGGTTTTACCACATTGTACTTTGACAGTCACATACTTCTGGAAAGTTATTTTGAGAGCTATGTTTCCTTTATGTGTAGATTATATGGTCAGTCCTAATCTCAGAATAAAATAAAGTTCACTTTTCATCTTAAAGGAAAATGTGCTCAAAAGATAATTTTGAAAAGTAAGGAACTATAAGTCTGAATAAAAAGACACCCAAGATGTGACTTAACTATATCCCCTGTTTCTTAAAGAGTCATTAGTAAAACATAAACTAGATATTCTTTTGGGCCTCAGCATTCAATTAAAGAAGAAAAGCTGCATTAAGAGTGGCTCTGAGGCTCCTCGAAGAACTGCAATGTGTGAATGGCCTCAGCACTGTAGACTCTAAATAGGAGGGGATAATTCACAGTTCAGCACTGATGATGCATCTCTTATTGTTATATATATATATATATATATTTTT